TGAATTGTTCAAAGTAAATGCTCAAGGTAAAGAGAGGAGGAGGAACGCGGCGATGTTTTGCCGAGGTATCGGAGAGTCACCACTCCCCACTAGTCCTCGTTGGAGCACCCGCGCAAGGGTGTAGCTCCCCCTTGATCCGCGCAAGGATCAAATGCTCTCTATGGGTTGATTCTTCGACACTCCGTCGCGGTGAATCACCCACAACCGCTCACAACTTGAGTTGGGTCATCCACAAGCTCTTCGGATGATCACCAAACTCCCAATCACCACCAAGCCGTCTAGGTGATGGCGATCACCAAGAGTAACAAGCACGGACTCTCACTTGACCACGACAAGTCTAATAAGAAGGGTGGATGCACACTTTGCTACTCTTGATCTCACTAATGAGGGCTCTCTTTGGGATTCTCAAATCTCAATCACCTCACTAGGACCTTGCTCTTCTTGGCACTCTCTAAGGTGTTTCTCAGCTGTTGGAATGAGCAAAAGTACCCCCACACACGAGTGGATGTGGTATTTATAACACCGGCTGAAAAACGAATCGTTATGTGCCTCTGCGGGGTGACCGGACGCTCCGGTCATGTTGACCGGATGCTCTGGTCAGTTCTTCCCGAACTCCAATGTTTAAAGTGTGACCGGACGCTGGCCAGCGTCAGCGTCCGGTCAGCACTGATCGGACGCGTCCGGTCGTGATTTTCTCTCTCTGGAACCTTACTGGAGTCGACCGGACACTGGCTCTCAGCGTCCGGTCACTTCACCTCTCAGCGTCCGGTCGCGCCAGACGATTTCACCTTGGTCAAATGAACTGACCAGACTCTGCGCTAGCGTCCGGTCAATCCGGAACCAGCGTCCGGTCAGTATTTGACCATCCATTCACTTCCAACTCTCGATCATACGTGAATGAAGTTTGCTCCATTGGATCTAAGGGCTATTTTGGAGCTACCTAGTGCTAGTTTTAATAAGTGTGCACCACACCTAACTCACTAGACTCACCTAGGTCAAGCTACTCGTCCATACCCCGCTTAATAGTACGGCCAAAGGAAAAACAAAGTCCTAAACTACTCTAAGTGTCTCTTCAGCTCCAAACGACACTTAGAACTAGTCCATCCTTTGAAAACTGAAACGATTTCCATCGTATGGGCATGACCACCATGATTGCTCAATCGATCTCCATTACCATGACCTAACTTAATTGCCTCTGCAAAACACACGTTAGTCACAGTAATCACATATTGTCATTAATCATCGAAACCCAACTAGGGGCCTAGATGCTTTCACATACTTGTGTATTTATATATATGACAGGACAACTTAGAGAGAGTGATGCGATATAGTATGTACTGCCTTTGTCTCTGAATAAATTAATTCTTAAAGTTATCTTAAGTCAAATTTTCTATGTTTGACCAAATTTACATAAAAAATACAAATAATGTGATGCCAAATGAGCACATGATGAAAAATACAGTTTATGGTGTAGATACTGATTTGGTGTCATAAGTTTTGGTGCTCTTTTCTATAAATTTGGTTAAATTTAAAAATGTTTAACTTAAGACAACTGTAGAAATTGATTTATTCAAGAACGAAGTGAGTAATGCACTACGGGTATAGCGTAATATTCTTGTGCTAATTAAATATCATAAATGTGCAAAGGATGAGAGATGATAAGTTGATAACGATGCATGATTGGGTAGTGTCCGATGATGCCAGCCGAGAAGAAGCCAAAGAAAGATGACCGGCCGGTACAGTACCGAAAAAGATGTAAAGGCCCACCCAACAAGTGTAATCAATTACAACTTTCCTGGCCCCTCTCATTCGATTTCCCTCACCAAAAGGCCCACCCAACAAGTGTAATCAATTACTACATGGCTCATGTTCCTATGAACTGTTGCTAAGGTCATGCATGCAGACACCACCACCATGTGTGCTCTCTGTCTCTTACATGTAGGGAACTAAGTCATGAGTGGAGTCTGTCTGAAGTTCTGTACTTTGGAGTGGCATACATGCATATGCCTAGTTGCATATGCCAGTTTAGTTAGATACATCACCGCTTCTAAATGCTACCTCTGTCCAAGAAGATAGCATTTCTAAATTTGATCGTCTAAGCCAAACTATCTTATATTTTACTAAATTTACAAAAAAAAAAAAGTGTTACATCTATATGTCTCAGATAAATCTAGTGATAAGTTTTGGAAACAATGGACGAGTTCTGCAGATCATGTATTCATTGATAGCAAAAGCATAGCAACAAAGAGAAGAGGAAAAATACTCCGAAGCCACCGATATATGGTTAAACTTGTCAAATCGTCAAATACTGGGTTAGTTAAGGTTGTCAAATATTTGTGACTGGAGAGAGTATATATATATACATATTTGACTCTAATTCTTTGATCAGAAATTCAGAATTGTTGCATGCAAGGCAACCAGCAGTGCATGGAGGAGAGAGAGAAGAAAATATAACAACACTGGAGCTGGAGGACAGTCAAGCATGCATGCTATGAAGAGGTAAATTAAAAGCGATCCCCTTTTTGTTGCGCTCAAAAGGTGCACGGGTCCATCGACCGGCCGGGCTCATCGGATTCGGATAGGATGTTCTTCTCGCGTTACTGTCTGGATTGGACTCGACCGCTTGGGCTCACCTGCTCCGCTCCCTCCCTCCTTTATTTGATCTCCCTGTCTCTTCCTCCGCATCACTGCTCAACTCCTGCTGCTGCACTGCTCTGCACACACACGCAGTTCCGGGCCCACGCGCCTTATCCTGCCCACCTATCCCCACGCACCAACGTGGATTATTCGCGTCCTCGTGGCCGGGCATCTCTTCGTCTCGAACAGTATAAACATCGGGCTATTCGGCTGATATTAAAGTCGGCTGATAAGCCGGCTGTAACTGTTTTATTGTGAGAGAAAAAACGTTGTAGATTATAACTGATAAACCGGCTGAAAAGTTCAAACGAACATGCCTCTTCATCTGCTCGAAAAGTTTCTTTTCCTTCAAGTCGTTGGGTGACCTAAAATTTGTAACTAGAACTAGTTCAGACTTTAAAGCATAAAAACTAACAAAAAAGTAAATGAACTACTCCGTAGACAGTTTTGATCCAAAACAACCAATTGGGGTACTCTCGTCCCCAAGTGGCCAAGTGTGACTGAGTGGTTCATGCTAAGTTGTACAGAACACACGCCATCAGCAGCAAGCGGGTCATATTTGATGAGTTCCATAGATAATCACGGCCTGTTTAGCACTGGCCTGCCAAAAGCCCACTACAATGACTGAAAAAAGCCCAGCCCAGTTAGGGCCTATATAGCTAGCACTAAAAGGACATCAAGCGAGGACAGCACAAAGCCACGAACCGGCATGATATTTCACAGTGCGATCACTTTCGACAAACACAGAGAAGGCCAACATTGTGAATATGTGGTGGCGTTTGAAGTTGAGGACAGTGCTTGGCGGCGGCGAGGTCAGCACAAAACCAGCATGATAATCATCGGGTTTGGCCGTTTCAGTATAATGACTGATGTTGTCTGGTTTGTATATAGCTTTTGTATGTCATCTTTTAAACATTGAGACCTTGTACCAGCATTCGGATGCCGCAGGTTGACAGGGCAGCACAATGACACCTCCTTGTAGCTACATTAATTCAGCATTCAGCAAAGAAGAGCAGTGGAGGAGATTTGGACTCTTTGTACAATATAAGCGAGGATAAGCTCTGATCTCATCTTTTTGAGGAAAAATCTCTGATCCCATTTACACTGCATCATAACATGAAGCCTGTATCTAGGGAACGCTAACCATGAAACTGGAAACGCACAAAAGCACTACATGTTTGAAGTCCAAAATAGTTCAGAATATGAAATCGGTTCTAGTAGAATCTTTATTTTCTTTGTTGTAAGATAGTAATCCTGAGCTGCCACGGCTTCGGGCATCGGCGACATGGTTGAATTTGGAGGCATTGCATGAAACACCGGTGACAGGCTCGCAAGAGAAGCAGCTAAACCGACGAAAACAGACAGGATAAATCCGGTCTCATCTCGTCATGTCGTTTACTTTTGTTCCGTCCGCCTCCGTATTTAAAGAAAAATAAGGGAACAGGATGGAAAAAAGGGGGTTTTCATCGTTTTGTAGGATCACGATTCCATCTGAATAAACTTATTTTTATTCATTTTTTTAATCTATACGGATATGCTTAACAATTACATATCCTTGCGCTATTTTGACATAAATCTACTAATCAACAATTATGCATGTTAACATGTTAGCACCTGGCATGCTAAGTGAGTATATTAGACCGATTACTTTGTCCATCACTGTACTGATCTGATCCTGCTTCCAAATATATATATAGAATAAAAGACAGAAGGTTTTTTTCTGCTCGTTTTCATCCCTACAAGGTTACAACATGGGCAGCCGACCACCTAGTACGAGGCGGCAATCAATCAACTATCTGTTTCTGTTTCTGCGTCACAAGTACGAGGCGGCAATCAACCATCTGTTTCTGTTTCTGCGTAACAAGGTCTCCTTCTGTTTGTGCATAACAAGGCTCTCCGTTTTTGGACGTGCACCGTCGCAACCCCCGTGGCCTTGCCACCGGCATCAATCACCGGTTGCTGGTCTGCTACCAGCAGCTAGCCCTTGTCTCTTCGGATTCCATAATAAACATGACAACAATTGGCATCCATGGAAAGACTCTACATACAAGAACTTGGACTTTTCCAGCGTGGGAAAAGAACAAGGAAGAATAAACTTCCAAATGTAGTGCTCCGCGATTGCAATACAGTTTCAGAACAACGCATACCTTTCAAGTTCAGAATCAACATTTTATAGGCAAAGCAAAGTTGAACAATACATATATCTCCTCAAATTACAACTTTGTTTCGCCTGGTTCAGCTTAAGTACATGCTTATATGATTACATGTTCCACTTAGATTAGAACAAAAAAGCTCAGGATCAGCTATGCCACTGCCACTAACACTTCTTGCAGGCCTCCACTCTTGTTCATGATCTATCTTGACTATCTGTACTGCTCAGGGAGCCGATAGCCTGTCATGACTATCTTATCTGCAAACATCTTGCCAGTCTTTGGCATAATGTGCCAGTGCATTGTCAAGTTGAATTCCTTGCCCTTTAGATTGCTTCCCTGTAATGAGATAAAAAGAAGAAATAATTAATCAAAATCTCCGAAGAATCGTGTGTCGCAGTACATAATAACTTTGTCGTAGTTGCAAAGTACAGCCACGTGCACATTGATCGAAGTAATGAACATAACGTAGACCATTACAGACCTATCCTAACACAAATAAAGGATATTGATATCAACCAAAATAATGGATGCTCAGTACACTAGTAAGGGTCAACCTGTACTTATATAGCTACCCAAAATTAATGTCAAGAATGAAAGACCACATGGAAATGGGTGTGGATCTGGACCCAATACTGCTCTACCAGAATTTATGTAGATTTGGGATTTCTATTGAGTAGTCTGAAAGCCATGTAAAAACATAAAACTGTTTGCATGGTTCGGCATCATGACCAATTATAAGTAGGTCCACAGAAAAGGGAAAAGATCCTTATTCATAAAAATTTCAGAATAATCGTACTGAAGTACATCAGCCCCAATGACAAAATTTTAATTAGCATTCAATCTATGTAATGTGCTTGCCTGGTCAATAAATCTGTACTTGTTTGTGGTATGGATCAAAAACTTGGCATGCTCCTTTGCAGGTATAATACCATCCCAAAGGGAAACCTGTCACATAATCCAAATACACTTACAATATAGTTATAAGAGAAAATCTGAAATATAACAGAACCTCAGAAAGCAACAAAAATCATTCAATAGGGCAACGAACATCACACTGGACTACTGGTACAGATATCCATACAATCATTAAAAAATCTTGACCCAAGGGGATAGACATTTCAAAGGCATTACACTTAGGTCAAGAAAAGGCTCTGAAAGTCAGCTACTATCTGCAAGCTAAAGCTTTAGCTACCATGCCAGGACCACAGGGAACACACAACGAGGGGCCTCTTTTTGTGAGAACCAGGGTTACCACCGTGCTATGACCACATTCTCTCTATGAAGTCATAAGATTGTATCACATAAAAAGATATAGTCTCGAGTTGCTCACCCAAAGGTCAGAAAACCAACAGTAATTATGCAAATGACATATCCATTAAGTCCAAGAGTATATATATCACATAATATATAGAGCATAGTCTCAAGTTACTAGCCAAAAATTTGGAAAACCAGCAGTAATTATGCAAATTATAAAGCTAACATCAAGAACACTGTCTATCTTGTTCTAAAATGTTGTTTTCATGTTCCTTCGATCAGATTTATTAGCTAGCTGGCTCTAGAAGCACATGGATTAATTAAGCTAACAGACTTGAGTTTTTCCCTGATATATACTTCAACTGTAGTTCACCTAGATTTACATATACTTGTGAAAAAAATCCCATCAACAACACATGTAAAAGTCTAATGGACTAGGTCAAATTGTGTAGCTTAGAAAGATTTGGCACAACCGCAAAGTAAATTCACTTTCCAAAACCACTACATGTATCAGCCACAATTCCCAACTTATGTTGAAGGACAGACCAAGAAGAAAGCTATATGACATCATTACTGCAACCCTCAAGCAAGTGGCAATTGCATGATATTGCACGACAGTACCAAGCAGAAATTCATGCCTCTATGGACAATTGATGCAGGCTAATTGTAACTGATAATCAAATATGAGCCACTATAATAATGGACCAATCACAAGATCACAAGTAATATATTGACTCAAGAACAATAATTGACAAACTTACTTGATTCAAAGCATTATGTGGAGTCTCATACTCTGCTGCCACAAAAACAAACACCTACAGTCATGCAGCAAAAGTAAAGTTAAGCAGACAGAAGCGAGAACCTTCTAAAGTTTCGCTTGAACAGCACTAATAGATCAGGTGCATTAGAAATTCAGTTGCACAGATGTATTATAATACACTGAAATTTTCTGGTGGCAAATTTCCATTATATTTCTTATAATAGATCATTCTGCAACAACTGAGAACACTATAATATAGTTACCCAAAACTCAGGCCCAAATTCTCATTCGCTCAAAAGACCCAGACAGGAACGAGAGTACTTCCTGTGCTCGAGGATTCCTCTTCAGTTACTTTTCAGTGTTGACCTCGTACATAAAGCTAAAACCATACTTTCTAGTGCAGTAAAACTTAGTAATGATGTGGAAACTGGAAACGGTGAAACGTGAGGGGAAAGGGTATGAAGTACCAGAAATAGACATTACCTGTTTTGTGTTCCACGTGAAAAGAGATGAAAGGTCTGCTGAGATGTTGAGCGTCATGCTAACCTGAACGAACAAAAGACAGAGTAATTAATCGTTACAAATTCGAGGCACATATCTGACACAAGTAATCTGATGCTAGTTATGATTAATTTGCAAACAAAAAAGGATACGGAGATGAGTTACCTCGTCGTTGCCGTTGGCCTCCTTCTGGAACCAGTTTATATTCAAGATCTGTGTAACCCAAACGATGGGGACCCCGTTAGCATGACACATGAAGATTGTAGAAGCAGATAGACCCGCCCACGCTCCAAGTCACGAATTAAGATAGATACGCAGGCGGAGATTGGACACAAGGCAGACGGGCAGGCTCGACGTGATTGAGAGAGACGGGGTGGAGGCAGGGGAGACGGGTGTGGTACCTTGACGGAGGCGGTGGGCGTCGGGGTGTTGAAGTTGTCGGAGAAGGAGGCGGCGAAGCACATCGCTGCCAGTATGGTGACCCCGAACGTTGCCACCGCGTTGGCGCGGTGCCCAAAGGAGTGCATCCTGTCGCGGCTCCGCTTCCTCCGTTACCGCGCCGCAGCAGCCGAGATCGCCGGGCCTCCCCCGCCGCTACTGCTCCTTCCTTCCTCCTGTCGCGGCGGCGCCGGCGACTTCACTGCAGTTTCCTCTCTGTCGTCGTTTTCTCCGGAAGTGCTTACGGAAGAGAGAGAAGTTAGCCCATGTAGATCCCCATTGGCGGGACCCGCCCGTCGGTGACAGCCGCGAATCTGACATGGAACGCGCTGATTGGTCGACGCACGTCACGGAGGAGGGGCTCAGCCAGTCAAGAGTGGTGCACGTGGGCCAACAAAATGGACCTACTCCGGCCCATTCGTACGAGTCGACCCAGGAGGCTTACAAAAGCTCCCACTTGGCAATGGGAGGCCCGGCCTGGCCCGGTGGCGAAAGAGAGTGAACGCGACGCAGCCGAGGCGGGAAACCCTAACCTAATCCTCGGGAGGAGGCGGCGGTTTAGCGCGCGTTTAACTTTTATTTTAATTTTAATTTAATCAGGTCAGGCCATGAGCCCATGACGCTGACGGCTGACGCAGGACAGCCCCGTTCGGGCATGTCACAATCGGCAGTCCGGCGCCAACCACCGTCCACCGTTGTTGCTTCCACACCACAACCACACGCACCGCAACACCCAGCGCATCGGCCGGCTGGCGGCGCCCGCGTCTTGGCTGTCACCACACGCGCCAGCCGACGCCGACCAGGTCCCGTATACCCGCATCGGCGTAGCCGTTCCCGCAAACCAACCACACACGCTAATCAAAAGATTAGTGGAGCACTGCCCGATCCTTCCTTTCTCGTTCTTTAGCACCTGCTCCACGAGACCAGAAGCTTAAGCTACAGAAAGATTGCTGTCTTGCTGTTCATTTCCCTTGCTTGAGCCGTTAAGCGTGCTTGCAGTTTGTTCGTTTATTCCGTTCCACGCATCCCAACAATTCGTCAATCCCCAGCCGCACGCACGAAAGAGGGAGATTCCCTGCTCCGACCGTGTCTTCGCTGCCTTGTTGGTTTCCGTTCTGTCCTTCGCTTGCTTTGACTTGGGGCAGTTGGGTTTCCTCCCCCTCCCCTTCCTCCAGTCTTGCTGGAGATTTGGTCGCTTCTTCTTGGTTTTTGAGACGAGCGGCGCTCTCGAATTCTTGCTTTCAGTTGGTCTGTTTGCGGTTTAGCAGGAGAAAGGTGAGATTTCTGTCGAATTCCACCTTGCTTCCGTTGAATTTGGGAGTTCCTTGAGGATTCGAGGCGGCGTTTGGTGATTGCGAGAGGAGGGTAAAGCAGCAACCTTTTGGTTGTAGATTTGTTGCCGGAGATGGGCAAGCCGTCGCTGAAGAAGAAGAGGGCCTCCGGCGGCGGCGGCAAGTCCGGCGACCACGGGGGCAAGCCGGCGTCGCTGGAGCGGTCCGGCTCCAAGGTCCTCGACGGCGACGAGACCCTCTTCACGGACATGGCGCAGGAGCACAAGGAGGAGGGCAACAAGCTCTTCCAGCGCCGGGACTACGACCGCGCGCTGCTCAACTACGACAAGGCCATCAAGCTGCTGCCCCGGGCGCACCCCGACGTCGCCTACCTCCACAGCAACATCGCCGCCTGCTACATGCAGATGAGCCCGCCCGACTACTACCGCGCCATCAACGAGTGCAACGTCGCGCTCGAGACGTCGTCCAAGTACATCAAGGCGCTGCTCAAGCGGGCGCGCTGCTTCGAGGCGCTGGGCAGGCTCGACCTCGCCTGCAGGGACGTCAACAAGGTGCTGGCTCTGGAACCCAACAACCTCACTGCGCTGGATGTAGCCGACAGGGTGAAGAAGGCCATGGAGGAGAAGGGGATTGTGTTGGACGACAAGGAGATCATGCCCACGCCTGAGGAGGTGGTGGCCGCTGCGCCCAAGCAGAAGCCGCGCAAGAAAAGGGGAGGACGGAAGTTTGCTGCCAAGGCTGCGGCTGCTGCTGTGGAGGAGGTCGAGGAACAGAAGATTGCGGAAGCTGTCAAAGAGGAGGAAGTGGAGGAGCAGCCAAGGCAGGTGAAACTTGTGTTTGGGGAGGACATAAGGTGGGCTCAGGTGCCGGCGAGCTGCAGCATGGCACAGCTGCGCGAGGCCGTCCGGAGCAAGTTTCCTGGGCTCAAGGCTGTTCTTGTCAAGTACAAGGACAAGGAGGGTGATCTTGTGACAATCACCAACCAGGATGAGCTGAAATGGGCTGAGGACTTGGCTGAGGCTGGGAGCTCACTTCGGCTGTATGTTACTGAGGCCAATCCAGAGCATGAACCTTATGTTGATGACACTAATAGTGGGCCATTGGAGAGAAATGTAAACAGCGCTTCAGATAATGGGAGTATCAGAAGCAATCGGCAGGATGAGGACAGGAGCACGGTGACTTGTATTGATGATTGGATTGTGCAATTCGCTCGGCTTTTCAAGAACCATGTTGGGATTAGCTCTGATGAGTACCTGGACCTCCATGAGGTTAGTATGAAGCTCTACACTGAGGCAATCGAGGACACTATTACTACTGAAGAAGCCCAGGAGGTGTTTAATCTTGCTGAGGGAAACTTCCAGGAGATGGCAGCACTTGCATTTTTCCACTGGGGTAATGTTCACATGTCCCGGGCCAGGAAGAGGTTGCTGCTATCAGGAGACTCCCCAAGAGAATTGGTGCTTGAGCAGGTGAAGGAAGCATATGAATGGGCAAGGGACGAATACAATAAGGCTGGAAAGAGATATGAAGATGCCGTGAAGGCCAAGCCAAACTTTTTTGAAGGTTTCCTTGCACTTGCACATCAGCAGTTTGAACAAGCAAAACTGTCATGGTACTATGCAATTGGTAGTAACGCAGATTTGGACAGCTGTTCTTCCGAAATCCTGGAGCTCTTCAATAAAGCCGAGGATAACATTGAGAAGGGTATAGAGATGTGGGAGTTAATGGAAGAACAGCGTCTGAAGAATCGATCTAAACCTAGCCAGGAGAATGTTGTGCTAGAGAAGATGGGCTTCGAGGAGTTTATCAAGGATGTATCCACTGATGATGCGGCTGAACAGGCTTCCAATTTAAGGTCTCAGATAAACATTTTATGGGGTATGCTCCTTTATGAGCGTTCAGTTGTGGAATTTAAATTAGGTCTTCCAATGTGGGAGGATTGTCTAATGGCTGCTATTGAAAAGTTTAAACTTGGGGGAGCTTCTGCCACAGATATTGCTGTGCTGGTGAAAAACCACTGCGCCAATGAAACTGCCCAAGATGGTAAGAGAAATTTACTGCTTTTTTCTTTTTTTTTTCTGTGAAAACTACGCTGTTGATTTTGCTGGAGAATACAAGAATTATAAAGGGATTATGCAAAGTGTTAATTAAATTGTGCTGAATACCATCAGCTCTGTGAATCCTTTGTAGTAGTCACACTGAGTTTGTTAAATTAATCATTGGACCTTTACATTTGGGAGTTCACCTATTATCATTGTTTAAAAGTTTATATGTAGCACATTCATTAAGTGTTAAATCACTTTCAGCTTATTTTCTGTACCTTAAGACCGTTTCTTCGAAACATTGTGAAAATGATGATTATGTAGCACAATCAGTAACTGTTAGTGGCTGAGCATTGTATGGTATGCTGAATGTTTCCAAATCCCACCCTTATTATTCAAAGTCACCCTTGAAAGTTCAAAAACAGTGGAGAAAGTATTAACTATGATTATCCAATTTCTTTGTAGGTTTGGGCTTCAAGATTGATGAAATTGTTCAAGCTTGGAATGAAATGTATGACATTAAACGGTGGCTGCGTGGTGTTCCATCCTTTCGCCTTGAGCCATTATTTAGGCGAAGAGTTCCACAATTGCATACTGCACTTGAACGTATATAGTACTCATGAAGTTGCTCTACAGCATATTGAATTTGAAGGCTTTTTTATCAGTGCCACTTTTCTCTTTTCGGTGAGTACAATAACTGTATGTTTATCTTGTAATAGATTAGTTTTATTCATACGAGGATGCAGTATGCACTATGATATTTGTTGAGTTTTCCTTTACCTGCACCCTTGCACTTTCTAATTAAATGTTTGTGACTATGGATCTTTTCCATTCCATGTGGTTTGGGGGGATGGTTGATGCACTTTGCTTTGAAGATAGTTGTACTGTTGTAGTGGTGATCTGATTGTGGTGGCACAAGTTGGTTGCGTTTTTCTTTTCCCAAGAAAAGATTTTCTTAACATAGTCCAGCACTAGGATTCTTGAGTCCCCAATCCCCAGCACATGCTTGGTGCTGTTTCCACTATTATCATCAATAGATATTAGTACTTACTGATTAAATTCACATCCTCTGATATACGAACTTTATTGCTTTTTGATTGTGCATTCAAAGGGGCAACATTATATCATTAAATCCATCAAATGTTCAAATGTGCATTCATACTTGCAACACTATATCATCGATCCAGTCAATGCTATGTAAAATAATTTTATGGGGTGACTGTTACCAGTTGTACAGTTTTGCATGATCTGTTTGAGGGACTTCAACCTAGGTAGTAGGCAAATTTTACCACTGATGTGAACTCTGACTATAAAATTCCTTTTAAGGTGGCCTTAAAGTAAACTTAAGCATGTTTGCTTGAAGCAGCTCAGATCATCTTAAAAGGTTGTGGGTTTATGGAGTCCAACACCAGTTTGGTGTTCCTTTGTACAGTTTTACTACCAGACTACAATTCATTGTTTGTGCCATGAGCCCATGATCTTTGTAATTCAAGTCAGATGATATGTATCTCCTTATGAAGTGCTTTTAAAGTTCTTTTCTTGACTACCGTGATGATATTTCAATAACTGCTCTCAGTTACTTCTTCTCTGCATCCAAAGTAGCCAGGTTATCATGACAGCAAATTTGTTCATAAAGTTCTTGTATTTAATCGTTCAACTAGATGTGCCCAACTTCCTAAGTGCTGCCCTTACTGAATTTTCTAATTGATTTCACTCTGCAGGTCAATTGCTACATGGGACACACTACATGGATTTGTTGTGTTGCATTTTTTTCTATACATGAAAGAGTCTGCTTCCTGGTTGTGATGCAATTCATACACAAGCCTATTCTTTTCACGAGGCTGGTAGCCCTCTGCGATTTGCATACGCTAGTTGTTGTTTTGGTCAGGTTTGCTATGTAACGCACAGGAAGCTGTGCTTTTGTTATTGAATTAGTGATTCATATTCTTATGATTGTGACATGGTAGTCCATTGTTGGAGGATGGGATTGGTCGCATCCTCCTTTTGCTTTGTGGTATTTTATCAGTTCTGCAATGTGCGAACTCAGTTAGGCTTGTACTACAGTCACATTTAGAATTCGTTGCGTTTAAGTTTGAAAGAAAGAAAGAAAGAAAAGGAAAGGAAAAAAAAGCATAGTATGTTCATGTTGAGCTGCTTTTGCCTTTATGCTCCATCAGGGATCTCATGAGAATAGTGTATTTGAGAGATATATGTATATACAGCTACCGTGGTCTGGATGAGGTTTAATTCAATTCAATGTATGCAGTTCATTATCCCTTGGGTTGTTGGCTGTTTGTTGCAACAGTGTCAGGTGAGGTTGGGTTCACATGCCATAGCATGAACGAGAGGGCATTGCATAAATACTTGCTAGCATGAGAAGGCGCCGGAAGCCACATATATATGGGAGATGGGACTATGGGACAGAACACTGATAAACGTCCACATCCGCAGCGCACAGATGAGATGCATCCCGTGCTCTGTGCTCACCAAGCTTGGGCACCATCCATCCGAAGCTCTGTACAGATGTCCCTTGCACGTTTTTTGGGCACCATCCATCTGAAGCTCTGTCTCCTGCTGTTGAGAGACAAGTAGCTGTACCTGCTAGGCTGGTTGTGCTTGTGCCCGTCCTCGCGATGAAGAGCGCTGGCATTGAAGGGTTCGCGATGAAGGGCGCTGGCAGTGAAATCGTCAATGGACCATTTGGCAATGAACTTCGACCACGAGGACCAATTTGTGCAGAAGCTTCTGCGCTGGATGCAGACTTCGTAGCAACAAAGACAGCCTCTCGCAGACATCTGATCTTTATAATAATAGTCGTTAACCCTTTGCTATGCTACTCTAGGATGCTGGTATCCCCGGCTCTGAACTTTGTATTCTGTTACTCGCTTTCAATATAAATCGGACTTGATCTCGTTAAAAAAAACCCAAAAAAAAAACCGCCTGCCTTGTTTCGCTGAAATTTGGCTTATGCTGATGTGTTGTAAGAGGAAAACACTGTTCGTTCATTTTTACCTTAATCTGAAAAGTATCATTATAGGCATGTATAGTCTTCCATGAATTCTACTCTAGTCATGTCTTGTTTGAGACGAATTTAAGCAGAAAGCACTGATACCCACTAGATCTTGTTTGAGCCGATCGATCGTTTCAGCGGCACTTTAGTATTTGCTCGTGTTTCTTATCAATGTACGGGACATATTTTTCATTACAAATGCAAAACTTCGGGAAACTTTACAAGCTTGTTGCAGCACACTCATTCAGCTGTCACACTGCTACAGGAATCAACACTACAATTCTGCAGCCGCCTACAGCTGCAGCCAAAGAATGGCAGCCGCAGCCTACAGCTTGTTCCAGAGTCACTTTTACCTTACTCGGAAGTCGGAACTCCTAAACTAATGCGGAATTGGTGACTAGTCCTTGAAGAAGCCACTGTGGCTTTTACAGCAGTTGCTTGATGTATAGTTGTGAACAAAAGAGGTGAATTCAGGTGTCGTGATGTAGATGGTCGCCTGCATTGTCCCTGTGGTCGTGGTGGCATCGGCATGGCAAAGATCATTTTTTTTTCACTTTGTGTGTACTACACGCAGGATTGATTTTTTGAAACACTGCGACACGATGAATCACTAATAGGGACGCTTGCACCACGAAATTTGCACTAATTTTGTGGAGGCAACTATACTTGTACGGGCTTTGCTGAGGATTTAAACCTAGACAGTAGGCACTAGAGCTGCTAGGGAGCATGTATGAGATATACACACTATTCGCTCGTTGGTTTCAGCCAGGCTTATTCAATCAACCAACATTGTTTTTCTCTCACAACAAACCAGCCCAAACCAGCCCAGAAACCAACCAACGAACACGCCGATAGGAACAGAGAAAAAAATTCACAGAATCGCACATCCAAGTTACAAGAGCAACACAAATCACTAATTCCAGCAGCGATGAAGAACAAAGCATCGGTTTCTAGGTTACAGATCGAAAAACACGTCTCCTTGTTTCGCGCTACCGCGCCCCGCATGGTGCGCACCACCTTGCTGCGCGCCGCACGCCGCCTCGCGCTGCGCTTGCCTAGCTCACCGTCAGACGGCTTGCCTCGCTCGCCTTTCGCGTGCGCTGCTCCCTATCTCACATCTTGCCGTCGGATGCGGGATTTAAAGAGAGGGAGGCACGGGCCATGCCGGAGTGGGTGAGCCGCCGGATCTCGAGAGTTGAGAGAAGGAGGAAGGGAGATTTGGATGCGCCATGGCCAAGCCGCCCGAAAGCGCCGCCGCTGGCGTCGTCGCGTGTGCGCGCAGCCGAGGAGCACCGCCTCCGCGTGATGCACCGCCGTCGCGGCTAGCCTTCGCACCTTCGTGGGCAGGGGAGGGGAGTGGGGAGCGGCGGGATTGGGGGCAGCGAGGAGCCGAGGCGTCGGGATTGGGAGTGGGGACTGGGGAGGGATTAGGTCATTAGGATTTAGGGGCGTGGGGCAGGTAGGGTGGGATACTAGGATGTGAGGGGCGGCGGTATTTGGGTATTTCGGTTAACCGAGCACTAGAACCGAAATAACCGTAGTAATTTCGGTTCTTCAGAATCTGGAACCGAATCTAGGACCGAATATTTCGGTTTTGATTACTTCGGTTTTGGTTCCGGTTATTTCGGTTCGGTTCTCGGTTATTTTTGCCCAGATTGAGCAGCGAGGATCGTCGAGCGGAGGTTGGTGATTGTCTCGAGCTCCGATCGTGGTGATTGTGAGGGGTTCTTGACCTTTTCCTGGCGGAGAGCCAAAAGGTACTCTAGTAAAGTGCTCGTGGCTTGTGTGATCCTCATCTTGTGTTGGTTGTGCGGCACCCTATTGAGGGTTTGGCGTGTGATGCCAATTAGCGCGTGAACCTCCAACTGAGTGAATCGCCACAACGAGGACTAGCTTGCCAGCAAGCAAGTGAACCTCGATAAAAATCATTATGTCATCATTTGATTCCGAGGTGATTGGTCTTCATTGGTATTCATTCTTATGATTGATTAATTCATTCCTTGACTCGGCGGTATAACCATCTTGCTCTCTCTCTTTACATTACCGCAAACTAGTTATCAAGCTCTTTAGTGTAGCTAGTCGTGAGAGCTTGTTAGTTTAGTTAGTGTGGCTCTTTAGTTAGCCTTTGAGAGCACACTAACTTAGTGTAGTGACATAAGCATTGTGTGGGTAGAGACTATATAAAATAGAATTGATGTAGGTGGCTTGTATTTTTAATAGGCTAGCGCAATACTTGTTTCGCCTCATATTTGTCTAACCGGTTTGCTAAGTGTTGTTGTAGAAATTTTTTATAGGCTATTCATTCCCTCTAGCCATTAGGACCTTTCACACTAGTACGAACTTTTCTGCGTGGCGGCCTACGTAGCGCCCCGCATAGCAATGACGTGGCATCGGCTCGGTGTCGAGGTCTACCAGCGGGCCCCACACAGCCTTCTCCTTTCTCCCTGTGTTTGTTTCCTTCCCTGTCTTCCTCCTTTGCTGATTTGGATTTCAAATTTGGAGATCCAAAATTGTCCAAACATTTAAATTTGGAGATCCAAAATTGTCCAAACAAAGTTGGGGTTTTTTTGCATGCTAGTTTTTCGTAGAGCACTGCAACGTCTATTTAGGGTTTAGAAGGGATTGCCACAAAATTTGAAATAGCAACACCTGTGAGACCCAGCTCATGGGCCGAATTGCGGTTGAGCTGGCCTACTGTAGCTGTAGCGCTGAATTGGGCTGGGCTGAATTTGGGGGTACTATAGCACCGAGATTGTAAGCTAGAAAACACTGTGCACTCAAAAGTTTAGTACCAATTCTGAGTTCGCCGAACCAGCTTAAATAGCCAGGCCAACGACGCGTAGTAACCTTCGGTTAACCGTTTTGCGAGAAGCGAGGACGAAAGCGCAAGCGGATTGCTACGTAGGTGGGGGCCACCCCTCGGCGGAGTGGGCCTGGGCCGTGTGCCGGGCCTGGGGTGTTACAAATGGTATTCAGAGCCAACTCTCATGGTTTCACGGACGTATGGCTCGGGAGCTCGAACATGTTGCACATGGCTCTGCAAGAGCATGGCACTTGGGCCGGGGAGCTGGGAATACGGACATGGGCCAAGAGAGTCGATCCTGAGCATTTGTCCCGTACGGGTAAACTAGTTTGATAGCTCGATGAGGACGTCAAACCCATTGAGGGTGGGTGGATGTGAGACTCAGCTCATGGGCCGAATTGCGGTTGGGCCGGGCTACTATAGCTGTAGCACTGAATTGGGCTGGGCTGAATTCGAGGTTAGTGTAGCGCCATATTGTAGCTATGAAAAACACTGTGCATCCAGAAGCTTAGTACCATACCGTGAATTCTGAGTTCGTCGAACCAGTTTAAATAGCCAGGCCAAGGACGCGTATTAACCTTAGGTTAACAATTTTGCACGAAGCGATGACAAAAACGCAAGCGGGTTGCTACGTAGGTGGGGCCCACCCCTTGACAGAGTGAGCATGGGCCGTGTGCTAGGCCTGGGGTGTTACAACACCCCAAACATGGAGCCATACCACCTAGCGATCCCACCATTAGGGTGCACCAGCTCAATTAACAGCCCATGTGTCCAGTGCGGTTATCCGGCCCAACACCAGACACGTCTGGTGGGCTTTAAGCCCAAAACGCCCAAAAACATGCTATCTGGTAGAATAGGACCGTGCCCTGGTTCGATGGGCTACCGTACTGGTCGATGGGTCCATGTCCGGTGTACACTTGTTAACAACGAGTGGACCAACTTTTGAACTGGTTTGTTCCTACGCTCAGCCCTCACTGGCGGTCCCACCGGAACTGCTAGCGGTCAGATCGCCTAGTCGAGCTGGGCTTAGCCACAACAAGTGGCCCACGCGCTGCGGCCAGCCAGCATCGGCGCGGCCATAGGAGTATAGGACGCGTCCGGTGCCCCTGGTAGTCCCATCGCCAGTGCTGGCGGTCCCATTGCCAGGGCACATACAGCAGCCCTACAAGCCTTCTCCAACACATTTTCAAATGTGCCAACTCCTAAGTTTCCACTAACTTTGTGCACGTTAATTAGCATTTTCACAATCATTTTGCAAAGGCATCTTTCACACTTTCTCATCATGTCACTGAGTGTGATGCATATGCAAAGGAAATCACACCTAGTGGCACTAGACAATCGTGTCAACTTGAGAGCTCCCCACTTAATAATACATTTATTTATCCTAAACAAAATCACACACTCTATTGTGTCTTGAACCAGCAAAACAAACACCATATTCTTATATCTTTGCTTTCAATCCATAGGGTTTTCTTTTCCTCTTTCTTGTTTTCCAAGAATTTGAGCACTAGATCAACTTATGGCCACCTCTCATCTCCTCTATGAGTGCCATCTTGCTCGACCTTAGTGTGGACATAATCTATCTCAAACACTACACTTAAGATAAAGGTTAGTCCATTGGTTGCCACTCAATTACCAAAATCAAACATACTACTTTCATCCACGCCTCCATCAAGCAAACAACATGTTCGCTCGTTGGTTTTAGTCAGGGTTTATCAGCCACCAAACAATATTTTCCTCTCACAACAAATCAGCACCAGTCGGACTTATCAGCCTAGAAACCAACCAGCAAACAGACTGAAAACCGGCAAATGGAAAACTTCACCCGACAGGTATAAGACAAGGCGCATATCAAACAGAATACTAGAATAGGGTAGTACTTAAAAGTTCACACACATTTTAATCCGACGTCCAAATGCCACTTGGGAAACATAACAAGACATAAAATAGTGTTAAGAATTTCGCACCACAGATCCAACACCCAAATACACCTAGAGCAACATCACATGACGTTAAACCCGACAAGCAGACACAACTACAAGCATGTCCGTTGCTCTATTGTTAGCATCTACTGCCCAGTCAGA